CTCTCTCTCTCTCTCTCTCTCTCTCTCTCTCTCTCTCTCTCTCTCTCTCTCTCTCTCTCTCTCTACCATGGTTACTGTTTATGTTTAGGTAATGATAAATATGTGCTTCTTTTAAAAGAAGATTGGGGATGTGAAACAGAAGGAGGTTGTCGATTTGGTATGCAAGGTAACTCTTTCATACACTACTTTCATTTGCTCCTGTAAATCACAATCCGTGTTAATGTGATTTTATATGCTTACTTTCCCTGGAAAAGATTCTTCATTCACATCGAGTCTCTGAAAAAAGTACCAATGTTTTTGTGTGGGATGGAACTAATGCTCCCCCAATTTCGGAGTTAATGTAAGCGATCTCATTGTCTCGAAGAATAATCTTTTTAGTAAAAATTGTGATATTTTATCTATTGTAAAATATTTTAAATGCTGTAAATTATTAGGAATAAATGTGATATTTCCGCTTTTAGTAAAATTGTGAGAGTTCTTTCTACTGTTTTTGAATATTTAGACATTGTAAATTTCATATGCAAATGACTGCCTTATTATTTGAAAATTGATATTTTTGCAATTGATTATAGCATTGTCTGTGAAATGTTTATTTGCGAATTGACATCCCATAAATTGTGATACTTCTGCATTCGTGAATTTCTATAAGAGTTTTTCTATACATATTAGATTGGAAATTATGCTAAAATATCTTTACGAGCCCAAAATATCTAACTGGTTATTTTTTAAATGTTATGGAAAGTGACTGTTATTAATGGTTTCAGTGAAATTCATATTAATAATTTCAGTGATATGTTGAATACATGATATTGCTGCTTTGGAATGTTTAAAGAGATTTAGAAGTACTTTTAGCATGCAAGTGGACTCATCCGATTCGCCGGTGAGGTATAAGTGGACCTGTCAGGTACGCCGGTAGGGATTAAGTGGACTCATCCGGTACGCCGGTGAGGTATAAGTGGACCTGCAGGGATTAAGTGGGCCTATTTGGGACGTCGATAGGGATTAAGTGGACCCATCAGGAAGCTGATGGGGTATATAGGTGACTTACTTGGGACGCCAGTAGGGTAATTTGTGAAATCCTTTGAATTATGCACTGTCGTTAAAATGTTATATGCATTTCAATTATTCGGATTATACTTAATTATGTATTTTTTAAAGTGAAATTGTTAATGCATCTCTGTTAATAGATCTCCCTTTTTAAAATATTGATATCTTTCAACCGTGATTATTTTTAGGATTATGATGATCACTTACTGAGTAGCCAAAGTCATCAAATTATGGTAAACATTTTTTTCAGGATAACTGCGGTTTCAAGTTGATTGCTCGTCATGATCAATTCTGGATGATATTGTAGTTGTGCTTAAACTTTTTTTTGTTACTTTGTAAGAATTCGCCACTGTAAATTTGTCCTGTC